AATGACAATGATGCGATGGGTTCTTAATGCCGAATGACTGATCCGGATTATAATAAGAGATTGTTTCTATTGGCCAACACTTCTATAAATCCTCCGGGGAAATTTTATACAAGTAGCTTGATAAATTTAGCAAATGAACACGTCATAAAGTGACATATAGAACATATATGTTGCACAATAAAGTATACGCAGTAGGTTATTCGTCCTCTCAATACGATTTTATCGACCATCCTTTTAATTCGAAATCACAAAGCGAACCTGGAAACACTTACTCTTAGAACCGTTAGTTTTTGAGTCGGTAGTACCATTTTGATTTCCTTTGTTGTTTCTTCTAGGTGGTTGTGTGGAAAAGCCAGGAGCGACGCTGCTTGTGGGAGTAACTGGAGCAGAAATTGCCTGAGCAATTGGACTGGTCAAGGGTTCTTGTATGTTATAAAGAAAGGTGTCTGAAGCAGGAGTAGGTATGGAAGGGGATGTAACGATTGAAGGTATGTTGAGGAAGTTATTGTTCGGGTAGTGGGCAAGGATCGAGGAAGTGGTCGGGAGCGAGGTTGCTTGCATCTTGAAGGTAGTGTCAGTAGTAGTTTTGCGCTTTCAACATGCGCGTTATATTATCTAGTATTAAGAGTTTTTGTTTGTATATTTTTAAGTTAGTTTTAACATATATAATATTCTGTTTTCTATTTGTATGCCTTTTAAAATTTAGAAAGGAAAAGAAGATGAAGAGAAAACAAGAGAATACAGAAATAATTAGAGTTATTTTTAGTGAGAAAAAGAAGGGACAGAGGGACGGCGGGTACAAAGCAAGGGCTATCTTATTTGATTTGAAACGATGTAGGCCGAATGTTGAGTGACTATCTAGCCTTCCTCTTTGAATGGGATGACAAAATGGTGTTGTTCGGATGTGTGTAACGAAGCGACTATGCCTAAAAAAAGAAACCTACCTTGTGTCGTCGTTGTGATGCGTTTGATAACTTTTGTGGTAATTGAGCTAGGCTCACCTCAACGATGACACATACGTACGCACTTTTTTTTTTTTTCTGTTACCTGTTGTGCAAAACGATTTTTTTGGGCAATTAATGGGGGTTAAAGTAGGGCGTGTTTGGTTATTAAGGGTTTGTTTGTAAAATGAATTTCCAGAACGAGAAGCAACAATATTTATATTACATACGAAATTTATGCCAAAAAAAAAAAAAAAAACTTATTGCGATAATAAGGAGATTAACGACGAATATAGATTAATAAATTGCTATTAACGATTTAACTGTTACTCAGCAATGTCGGGATACGCCACTAAATTATATTAATTTTTTTTTAAATTGCATTGTATCATCAAATTACGTATAACCATTTTCAATCGGCGTCTCAACGTTAAATCTTCATTATTAATAGTTAATCTTTGATTAAATATATGTATCCGGTTGCAATGCGTGTATGCTAATAATCACACGGACGCTCACATAGAAACGCCGATCAAACCCCAAAAGTCCCTGTATGAACGGCTGAAAGCAATCATTTATTGATTATTACTGCGGCAGTGACTCATTTCATATTAGCATTTACGCACAAAGGGTAAGGTCTCGAGACCTACACGCTAGTCATTTGATTTTTCTTGAGCGAGGCATCACAAAGATCACGAGAATGACAGATTAAGCAAACAACCCTTTTTTGCGTTTCGAAGGTGCCGAAAAGGTGGCGTATTGGATGTTCTTTCCTCCTTGCATTCCTGTTCTACAGGAAGATCCACCTTGCTCTTCTTTCTTTGGATAAACTTCACCACGCCACTCCACCTCCATAAATAAAGTAGACAAATAAGTCGTTAGAAAAAACATGCCACAAAAAAAAAATGTTTACTGTTGTGTAAATGGAAACGTATTTGTTAGGAAATAATGCATTAATGATCCAATAAGAGGGATTCTTTTTTGGCGCAGAAACTAATTTTTTTGCAACTTATAATTGATGTAACTGATAGAATGCTATTTTTGTACTTATCGTTATGAAATCTTAAAAATCGGGGTTTAACTCATTAGTCATTAAGCTTTTTTTGTTTTACAGTGCATGCGTTACCTGTTTACGTGTTGATATTTATAAATATTTAAGGTTATATTAATACTATTTTATAATTAAAATAAAAAAAATATCTATATATATTTTGTATAAATTACCTAGTAAAATTTATGTCATTGATCACCCCCTAGAAATTTCAATTTTAACTTTAAAGCTTTAAAATTTTTAAATTAGATAGTCTATCTTATACTATTAATTTTTTAATTTTTAAAATTAATTTAATCATTATAACAAACTTAGATAAGAACCAATATTTAAATTACATTTTTTTAAAGAAACTTTTAATATAAAAAATTGTTGAAAGTATAATATAGCTCAATAATTTATAGAATCAAAAATTTTTAAATTAAAATTTGAATTCAGTTATATTGTTATCAAAAAATTTGATATATTTTAATAAGACAAATTGTTGAGAAATTTAATTCTAAATTTTAAGAATATCAAAATTAAAATTTTTAACAATTGTCTTATTAAAATATATCAAATTTTTTGATAACAATATAATAGAACTTAAATTATAATTTAATAAAAATTTTTAATTTTATAAATTATTAAGTTATATTATACTTTCAACAATTTTTTGTTAAAATAATTTTTCAAAAAAAAAAATATAATCTAAATATTGATTTTTACTTAAATTTGTTTGTAATAATTAAATTGATTTTAAAAATTAAGAAATTAATAATATAAAATAAGCTATCTAATTTAAAAATTCTAAAACTTTAAATTTAAAATTTAATTTTTTAAGAAATGATCAATAATATATAAATTTACTATATATTATTTTTTTTATCTTAAATAGCTTTATTAAATATAAAAATTAAAATAGTTAAATTATTAAATTTATTTTAACTTTGAAATTTAAAAAATAAATTATATATTTAAATTTAAAACCAATTAGATCCAATTAATTTTAAAATTTAAAATTTAATCCAATAAAATTTTAAAACTTGAAAATTAAATTAAATTTAATTATAAACAATTTAAAAAATTTAAAATTAAATTTAATTAAATTGTATCAAATCTATAAATCAATCAAATTCAAATTTAAAATTATAATAATTTAATTATTATTTGTTTTTATATTTTTTGAGTATTCTAAATACTTTATTAAACTTGTTTCTTAATTATCCTTTTTTTTTTTTATACTATAGGTCAGGCTAGGTACATATGCTTTATTAAATGTTTGTATACTATACATTTTAAATAATTCACTAAAGTTAAGACTTTACCTAACTTATTCATCATTGTTTTGTCTTAATATATCAAAACTCTAAGTGCAACTTTGGAAGTGATTTATCACCCTATTAATGGTTCAAGTAAATATCCTCTCAACTTTTAATATTATTGCTCACAGATCACTACTGTAGATCACTATCTATTATTCTGACCAAGCTTAAAACCCAACCATTTCATTCTATAAGTAACACTTTTGAGTAGAATTTCTTTTGGGCTTTCATTTTCTTGAGTTTCTTCCTCTGATAGAGGATCTTTACTTTTGGAAACTGATGGTTTTAAGTTGTGTATGCCTGAGTATCAAATTTTTTCTACTCTGCGAATCCCCTGTAAATATTCCCATTCAATTATCTTCTCACATCTTTTGTTTCAAATCTTTTTCCTTATTTGATTACACACTCTTCTTTGCATCTTTGATATCTATCTTCTTGTCTTATTATCAATTCTTTTTCCATAGCATTTCAGATCTGCCATTTTTAG